AAATTTGGCTTCTTCTCTCTCCTTTTTTCTTTCCCTCTCCTCCTTCTTTCTTTGCTTCTCTTCCTTCTGCCTCTCTTTTTCTTTCACCAGAGCTAAGTTTTCAGTGCTGGTTAGCACTCTTCCACTAGACTTTGGCTTCAATGTTTCAGCCCTAGCTGGTGGTGAGGGGTAACTAAGGAAGCTGCTGACTGCAGTGCTATTGTATGGCAATTGCTGCAGACTTGACTGAGGGTGGTATCGAGACAGCCACAGGTTGTAATGCTTGTCGCCAGTCAGGTCATAGCCATTCTCAAACCGCCTTTCAAAGGGACTTATCTCCTCATCGGTAAAACCAAAGGCAACTCGCTTTTTTGACTGGCACATGGGGCTATGCATTGGTAGGAAGAGACCTGTTTCGTGGCTAAGCTTTGCAACAGAAGTGTCCAGAGAAAGCACATTCCGATTTAGTGGATAAATGCCGGTAACTCTGAAGCCAGCGGCAACATTTGCCATCGTCATACTTCTGCTCCAGGCTCTGCTGAAAAGTGTTGAGAATTGAAATTTTGTAACAACTCTTCCTGGATGCTCACTCATGTACTGGTGACATTCCTCCCTCCATGCCATTTTGAGTGGTCCGAAACACCCCCTATCCAGAGGCTGCAACATGTGGGTGGTGTTCGGAGGCAATGTGAAAAGGATAACCCTTTCACGTGCTGCAAGACGAATGGTGTCAGGGCAGTAGTGTGAGGAGTGCCCGTCCATCAGTAAGAGAAGGGGTCGAACTGAAGGAGCGTACCTCAAAAAATGGTTACAGAACCACATGTGGAAAAGCTCCATGTCCATCCACCCATTGCCCGAAAGTCCATATATTGTGCCTGGGACCTCACCAATGGTTAGTTCTGGTGCAAGTGTCTTACGGTCCCAGATGACCATTGGAGGCATGCATAGGCCAGTAGCACTACAGCACCCTACTATTGTTACTTGGGACTTGTTCCCTGACCCAACCGTAGTAACTGAACTACCTCGTTCTGCCACAACTTTTGGCGCCTTCGGGTCAAGTGGCATGCCACTCTCGTCCATGTTGAAAATCTGCCCAGGATGGTCTGTCAACTCATTTTCCTCTAGCGTACGCTCTAGCAGATCGAAGTATCGATTAACCATTTCTGGGTCTGAAGCCTGGGCTCTTACCAGAGACAATGGAGCAGCACTCCTGAGGGACAGATTGGGGTGACGTCGACAAAAACTCTCCCACCAACCATTAGTCACAGTCTTCTGTACCCCCTTACTGTCCAAAACGCTCTGCACTAACGACAACACTTCTTTACGTGACTTTCCGTACCCTATGGATGCGCACCTTGAGAGAAATTGAACTAGTTCACCCTCTTCCATTGCATTCAGGTATGGTGGTGGGCCACTCTTAGTTCCTGGCACCGTTCGGCCGCTAACGCGGTCACCAAGAGACGACTTGGGCACATGATAATCTAACGCCGCCCTCCGTATAGATGCGCCGCCAGCAACCACTGCCTGGAGGGCCTGCTCCATTTGTGAATCAGTCCAGCCCTTGTATGTCCCACGCTGCACTTGGGTCGGTGCTAGTAGGTGGATACTTTTGTGGCTTCTAAAGACCCTATCTTTTAATGTCAGCACCTTTGATGAGGTGTGCAACTGCCTGACAACCCAGAGGTATGCCCTATATACACACCAATTTCCCCTAACTCCACACACATTGTCCTGCAAGTGAAATTTTCAGGCTTCAGCAAGTGAATTTTCCAGGCTTGTAGCCTTTAGTTGCACAGAGAACCATAAACTATGGCAGTGGTTTTATGCATGATGCATAGTCCACACCATTTTGTATACAACTGCAATCCACAACAAAAAAAGTTCACTTGTGCTATCCACCATTATTTACAACTAGAGACACAGGTATGTATCCACTCCACATGCACATACCACATCTGCACATCTTGCCTCCCTTTAGTGCATAGATGCACCCCAGAGTTAGTATTTCACAATGTTTCCTCGCATGCTTTACAGTAAAATAACTCACAGAACAAATACAAAGGCATACACAGAGCAAAACTCGACTGTTTGGCAAGAAGGCCTCCGCAGAGCCACCTGAATGAGAAAATAATAAAGAAACAAACATAAACACAAGCAAATTTCAATGCGAACCGGAGTCTGCGAGCAGGAAAACAAGGATTACTTACCTGCTGTTCTTCTCCGATCCGCTGGACAAGACATGTGACTACTAGAGACAGGGAGCGTGCGCAGTCGCGAGTCCGAAAATAGAGGGCGTGACCCCCGCGCTTGGCTCGATCGCGAGCTGTTTCTGCTGAATTTTGACGAAACATAGATATGGCGTGTCTATAGAGGAAGGGTAGCTTTACATGTGCACTATCTTTGGAATCTCCTCCGTCCTCTCTCAAAGTGTTGGTGGCGAGCGTCCGGAAATTGTGGGGTTCGATCGTTCATAAAATCGTTTGTGTGTAAGGCAGGGCCGAGGTTTCTCGCATACCTAGCCCACGTGTACCTGTCTATATATTGGTATTATCAGTTTATGTCTAGCTTATTTCATAGTCTTACAAACGCGTCCGAAAATTGATGGTGGTCGATAATTGATCGCTGACTCTACGTTAACACCAGTAGAGTAAGCGATCAACCGTCGAACAGATCTATTTTCGAACGGCCATAACTTCTTTTGTATACTATCTACAATAGCGAATCTTTTTGCAGCTTGTAGTTCATTTAGAGCTTAGTTAACGTACCAAGTTAGATTGAGGACCGCTTCACTATCGTCGTGTTACAGTGCTCCGAACACTAGCGTTCGAAGACCGCAAATATCGCACATATGACTCATCCAACGAACGGAGCCCAGAAATCCAGTTCTACACAGGAGACAGGGGTCGGACAGCGGGAATTAAATCTGCCACTTATACCTGCGAAAGCAATAACACGAGGATTTTAATAGGTCACACACGCCAGCATTACAGGCGACGCGAAAATACCAACCGCGCGTTTCAATTAGCGAACGCACGCAAAGTTTCGGATAGCGGCGAACGGGCCGCGAGAGGCCGGCTTTTGCTGCTGGGTGCTTTATTTGGGATTGGCGGCTGCTGGTCGTGTTTCCCCGTTTTCATCTCAGCTCTAAGATGTAAGTGGGAACTTGATATGTCTTTGTAGACTAGCCTTTTATAAAGTACAATCCACAATACATCAAAAGGGAGCCCCATAAGCCTGTGGTTTCAATGATTGATGCCGACTAGTTTTATGTAATAAATGGTACCATTTCTCATGTGCGTTAAAGGCCAGAAAGACCCCAACATATTGGCTGTGCAACATTTGTAGTTGTATGTAATGTTTTTTGTTCCCTTTAATAACCGCAACGCGCAACGCGCGATATGTTCGCTAATTGAAGCGCGAGATTGCTAAATTTGCTGGGTCGTAACACGGTGATAACAGACGTTTTTTGCAAGAAACTTTGACTGCGAACTAACGTGGTCCTATAGGGGTTTTCATCCGTTATTTCGCTTCGCTATGTCATTCACAGCGGAATATATGGGCGGTGTTCGCTTATTGACGCGATCGTGCGATTTTTACGGTCTTCGAACGCTAGTGTTCGGACCACTGTAACACGATGGTGGTGAAGCGGTCTAGGATCTAACTTGGTACGTTAACTAAGCTCTAAATGATCTACAAGCTGCAAAAAGATTGGCTATTCTATATGGTATACGAAAGAAGTTATGGCTGTTCGAAAATAGATATGTTCGACGGTTGATCGCTTACTCTATATCAGAGAGCCGGTAGACTCTCTATATAGGGATGACACGGGTGAAATCTCACGTGATCCGCGTACAAAACGACCAGAAACTCGGCGAGAATTACTCCCTAGGCCTTCAAAACATACTATATAGCAATAATCTAGGCCCATATCTACCTATACATGTCCCCCAAGACCTCATACGCACCTTCAGTCGTCCACGCGAGAATTCGCTCATACGTGATTTCACGATTTTCGTGCCATCATCATTATTCTTCATCTTCTTCTTCTTCTTCAGACCCGCTAGCTCCTTACCGGAAGCACTTGAAGCGTTGATTTTTTCACAGAACGTCTCCGAATTTCCGGAGGTGTGCACGCATATCAAGCCATCGTTCGTTTCTTGCCGCAAGTCACTACGGTAGATCGTTGAGCTCTTCCTCGGTAGTCACTGAACAACGCCATTTGCTGCTAACTCAGCATCAGTGAGCCGCATGCGCCGAGGAGGGCGTTTCCAAATGCGGTGCGCGCGCATTTTGTCTCGAAACCTGGTCAACGAACGACAGGACTGGATACCTGCAGAGAAAACTACTCTCATCCTCCAGTGCATTTTGTAAGTCACTGTACACATTTGTAAGTGGCTAGCTTGCGTTTTGCTGTTGATTTGCACGAGGAGCAACTTGGCAATCTGCGCCGTGTTACACTGACGCGTGCCGCCTTCATTCTTTGTCCCCCAGGTTATATATAGCTACCTTTGTAGTCTGATTTCTGAAGCCTGCCCAATGAAACGACCACCATATGTGCTAATCGCGTCCTTGTTGGAGACACTACGCGTACACCCTCCTTCAGGTAAGAGCAGTCCATTAGCTTCTGCTTTCAACAGTCATCTCTACAACATAGTTAACATTGGAGTGACTGAAAATGCAGTGTTGTCATAAGCCATTAAAAATAGTGGAAACAAGTGGAAAAATCTTATTCAAAATGAAGGAGGATATAGGGATGGCTTGAAGCACCAAAAAGGAAGAAACAAGGGGTCATTACACACCAAATATGCACAAAGCCACATGACACCATTCCTATATCTTTGTTTTATTGTTCATAAGCAAAGTTTAATATGAGACAAAGATATAGGGATGGTGTCATGTGGCTTTGTGCATATTTGGTATGTAATGACCCCTTGTTTTTTTTCCTTTTTGGTGCTTCAAGCCATCTATATCCCCCTTCATTTTGAAGAAATGATTTTTCCACTGGCATAATATTATACATTTCTCCTGTCACAACTGCCAGAAGATGAATCTCCCCGACAATGTCAACGTTGACTCGAATGAGACGTCTCAGAAAGCTGTCGTCTCTTTCTCTTGCAATGATGGCTACACACTGAGTGGGCCCAGCAGTATGCTGTGCACCAGTTCTGGAGTCTGGAATAACACTCATGTCCAAGTTGTGTTGCTGATGCCAACAGCAAAGGTAGTGTTATATGCAGGTGCTTTGTTTCCAATATGCAAAGGGCCTTTTACAAAGAGAGCTGGTTTCATAATCCTCCCTCGCATGCTTCTAACCAACTATTTTTGTTCAGCTCAGTCTTGATGCACATCTATTTGGTCTTCTCTTCATAACAATAATATTCCTCCTTCGCATGCTTTTAACCAACTATTTGTTTGTCTGCTCAGTCATGATGCACATCTAATAAATTGACCCTTTTTTCAATGAAAGGTTCATTGAATGTGGGAGCAGTTGCTGGTGGGGCAGCTGGAGCACTGGTGGTGGTTGTTATGATGTCATTGCCACTGCCCTCATCTGCTGGAAACTCTCGTATGTCGTCCCACCAAACGTCCACACAGAAATAACGAAGCATGGGCATGCACTATCCTGGGTGTTTTCACTTCTAATTCTCAATCACACTCTCCGTGTGTTTCTTTTGTTGCGATTGTGATGACTGCACTCTACACTACGTACATTATCATAGTCATAATCATTCTCAAGAACTAGTAGAACTATTGTCATTTCAGTCATGCGCACTACACACACATACTCTGATACTGAGCATGCGCTCTATCTTTCACCTTGAGAGATTATCCAGACTTGTGAACTGCAGAAAGTTGTGTGATTATTTTTGTTTGTGCCATCCCTAACGGGCAGTGCTAAATGAACTTTGAACTTTGAACTTTGTTGGCTCCACGACTGAGAACGTCTCTACATCTGGAGGTCCCACCGAGACCTAGACCCATCGCCGCTATCGTTCAGCGACGATCCTCCAGGTAACTCGGATCAGCTAGAGAGACGTCTTAGGAGCTAAGGAGCCAACCAGCCAGCGAAATGGCGATGCCTACGACCGAGGCGAGCGAACCAGTTGTGCCGCGTGGCACGAAGAAGACCTTTCCCCTCAACTCTGGGAGATTGACGGCTGCGGTGATGGGGAGGTTAGCAAAAGAGCTAGGATTGAGTGTTTCGGCGTCGTTGGAGGACATGCAACAGATTGTGAGTGGCAAGATCGAGGCGGCTGGACGCGAACCCAGGAACGTGCGAGTGGAGCTGACGGATTCGGAGAGAGGAGTCATAATTTCGTTACGCGACGACGAAGGGGCGTTCTTGGTGTGCCAACCGGAGGAGACTGAAGAACGAGGAGCCGGCCACGAAGGCGGCGGCAGTGGAGAAGAAGAGGGAGACGGAGAATTAGGGGGCGGAGCCAGCCACGGCGGCGGCCGCACGAGGAGCGCGCGCCCCGGTGACGGAGATGAGCACGACGACGCGACGGATCACGCAGAGTTAGAAGCGGAGCTAGATCGATTGACGGAGGAGAATACAGCCTTCGTGGACGAGAATGCAGCGCTGTTGGATGAGAATACAACACTCCGGAAGGAGGTGAGTGAGCTGAAAGTAAAAGTAGCAGAAGAGAGAGACAAGTACAAGAGTTTGTGGAGGGACAGTTGTGAGCAGTTGCGGGAGCATGATGAACTGATAGCAAAAGAAAGATGCTGAGATTGGAGCCTCGAAGTCACGCCTGGCCGAACTAGAGATGTGGCCGCGGCGTTCAACCCCTGATGATCCCGCTCCTGTGTCTGGTGGTAGCTTGAAGGTATTGCGCAGGACTGTACGAGTAGACTCTCCAAGTCCGATGCCCCCGACGGGACATCGTGGGAAAGCCCCACCAATTGATGCGTTCGATGGAGAGAGCCTTGAAGTGAAGTTCGACGATTGGTATCCCATGCTCCAGCGTGCTGCCACGTGGAATGGGTGGAGCGAGCAAGAGACCCTCATCCAGCTAGCCGGTCACCTGAGGAAGCGAGCATTGCTGGAATGGAACTTACTTGAAGAGAAAGAGAAGACTAGCCTCAGCTCTGTGGTGGTGGCCCTACGCGAGCGCCTAGACCCTGGTAGTCGGTCGACGGCTGTCCAGGACTTCCGGTACGCTTGGCAGAGAGAGTCGGAACCTGTAGGCGACTTTATCCTTAGGTTAGAGCGTATATTTCGGTCTGCATACGGGAGGGATGCAATGTCAAGTGAAACACGGAGTGCATTGTTGTATGGCCAGCTTCATGAAGGGTTACTGTATGAACTACTGAAGGCCCCAGCGGTATCAGGAGCACAGAAGTATATACAGCGAGCTGAGAAGGCGTCAGGAATTGTTGGGGAGGCAAAAACTACGGTGCCGAGCATGCCCATCCAACCCCAGGAGCAGGGGACAAGTCCGGCATCGGAAAGGAGACGAGACCAGCCGCCACCTGGACCGGGACCGAATGTTGGCGATGTTGACGCCAGATGCTGTTACAGATGCAATCATCCTGGCCATCTCGCCAGAGACTGCAGGGCTACAGGAAAATGGATTGGTCCCAGGACACCCAACTCGGGGGGAGGGCCACTCGCCGGAACGCGTCATGTTCTTGCCCTGCTCCCGATACTACGGGGTGGGGGCAAAGTCGCTTTCGAGTAGCATCCTGGATGCCCTTTTGGATGACTCTGAGGAGGAGGAAATACGTCGCATGCGATTGGACTACAATGGAAGTAGATCAAGATACGCTCAAGTAGAAGTTCAGGGAGTGCCAGCTCAGGGGATAGTAGACAGTGGGGCGGATATCACAATTATCGGAGGGGAGCTGTTCAGAAGTGTGGCTGCAGTTGCTCGCCTAAGAAAGGACTTGAAGAAGCCCGACCGAGTCCCAAGGACGTACGACCACAGGCCATTTACTCTTGATGGGAGGATGGACCTTCACCTCGATGGCACTACAGTGAGGACCCCGGTATATATCAAGATGGACGCGCGAGAACCTCTACTTCTCTCAGAGGGAGTGTGCCGGCAACTTGGAATTATTGCGTACCACCCCAACGTACTCTCGCCAGCAGAACGAACCAAGGGACCAGGGGTCGGTGAAGTAGTCGAGAACCAGAACAACAGCGGATGCCAAGAGGAGAATACTGCAGTCAAGACTCAAGTCAACCATGACGAACCTGGGGAGGAGAAACCATAGACCCACAGTGACCAGTCGGAAAAAGAGGGCGGATCTCAGGCACCCATTGGCCTGGCAGTGGAAAAGAAACAGAGACCAGCAGCCGCCGATGGAATTGGTAGTCGGCAGTGGGAACCACTGTAAACAGTCTAAGACCTGCAGTAACGGAGCGAAAGAAGGGACCGAGTCCAAGACACGCAACCGAAGTGAAGGATGGAGGAGAAGTGATCATGGAGACTCCTTTCCAGAGGGCCAGAGTGATGAACCTAGGAGTGGGGCGGTACGTCAGCCGACAAGGAAAAGACGGGATGTCATATACATACCTCAGAGGAAGAAACAGGGCTCACCAGGAGTCATACCCAAGAGAAGAAGACAGCTCCTGCTAATATTGGAGGAAGCCTCACCCGAACGGACGAAAGACCCTGCAGAACTGGAGGAGGCGACCAACATTAGCGAAGTGACACTTCAGCAAAAGCACAGACCCGACCCGTTTGAGAGTGGCAGCAAGTTCCCAGGAGGATGACATAGTGAGTACTGCCGACCCGTGTCTGTCAACGGACCCTATGGAGTTTAGGGGAGCATTGAAAGCAAGTGCACCGGAGAGAGCCAAGACGTTAGGCCCAGGAGCAACTTCAAGTGACTCCACTGAGCCACAAGAAACTTGTATGTCAGTTACGAAGTGGTTGGAAGAGAGCCCTTTACCCCTGACGCTGACACCCCCAGAGGAGAAGGAAATACCACTCAGTATCGATACTACTCGTTCCTAGGTGCGCCCCCAATTCCAATCTCGTAGCAGATTCAAATACCAAGGATGTGACCAAAAGTACCACGACCAAATGGAGCAGAGGACGATGGAGTGGATGGAGTGGATGTAGCTGCTGGAGCTTCAGACCCACACTCAGGGAATTTTGGGAGAAACCCCTGCCCGGCCAGTGCCCAAGGTGGAAGTTGCGGTTCAAACTGAAGAATAGAGTGTGTCGAAGGAGATCACTACATATCTAGTACCAGCACCACGGTGGGGGAGAACGTCAAGGAAGTTCCTACCAGAGAAGAAGGCGTCAACCAGCCCCTAACCCCAGACGACCAGCCGAACCCAAACAGATGTGAATTCCAGTATGACACCCCAGGCGATGAACCAGAATCCTCTGCGGAGCAAGATGGGAGTGCAGCTGGTACAGCCACTCGTGTCCACCTCGTACAATCGGTGCGTATCTCACCTCATCAGAGCATTGCTGCAGAAGTCACCCTGGAAAGCGGAAGACCTCGGAATACCTCAGTTTTGTTCATTCCTGACGAGGCCCTAGAGTCTCTAACTAGCCTCTCCTCTGACGACACACTTCTTCAGCCTTCCAGAGACGGCAGGAGTCACATTCTCGTCTCCAACTTCACCGGCTACACCCAAAGCCTGAAAGAAGGGGAGATTGTTGGACATGTAGAGGAAGTAGACATCATAGACATACAGCCAGAAGACGGCACTTGTGACTCAGACTGTATTTGTCGTCAGAAGCCCGTCAGACGAGTACAGTGATTGGGACCAGCAGCGAAGACAGAAACTCAGAGATGTGCTCACTCCACCTGACCTTCCACCTCAAGAGTGAGAGAGACTCCTGAATTTCCTCACCACCTACCACCACGTGTTTGGTTTAGAAGAAGGAGAAAGAGGGGAAACGGACATGATCCAGATGAAAATTGAGACGGGAGACTCGTACCCCAAGGGACAAGCACCTAGAAGAATGCAGTACGGGAGGAAGTCGCAAGACAACTGAGTGACATGCAGAAAAATGGAGCAATCAGCCCGTCTGGGCAAGTCCTGTTGTGCTTGTCCGCAAACGTGATGGCACGCACAGATTCTGTGTTGACTGTAGAGCGCTCAACTCTGTGACCAAGTCAGACAGTTTTCCTCTACCAAGGATTGATGAAATGCTGGACCAGCTGGGTGAATCGAAGTACTTTTCGACCATCGACCTGGCTTCTGGGTTTTGGCAGATACGCATGCACCCGACAGCACAAGAGAAGACAGCGTTCATAACCCACCAAGGACTCTACGAGTTTCGTGTGATGCCATTTGGACTTACGAATGCTCCAGCAGTGTTTCAGCGGCTCATGCAGCAAGTTATAGCTCCTCTGAAGGTCACGCCTGGACCTGAGTATGTATCAGTCTATCTTGACGATATCCTGGTGTTCTCACGTACATTAGAGTCACATCTCAAGGCCGTCATTCTGCGCATAGACGAAGTTGGTCTCAAGTTGAAACCCACAAAGTGCAAGTTTGCCCAACGAGAGCTGGAGTACCTAGGGCATGTAGTCAGTCGAGATGGATTGAAGGCGAACCCCCGGCTGATTGCTGCAGTGAAAGAGTTCCCAACCCCATTGTCTGCTCATGATGTTCGTAAGTACTTAGGTCTCGCTTCGTATTACCAGAGGTTTATTGCTGACTTCTCAAGGATTGCACGCCCACTCCACCAGTTGACGTGTAAGGGAGCCAAGTTTGTGTGGTCCCCAGAATGTGAGCAAGCTTTCCGAGAACTCAAGGAAAGATTGACCACCACCTCTCCTGTGTTAGCCTACCCGAACTTCAGTCGAGACTTTGTCCTGGAGACAGATGCTTCCGTGCAAGGAATTGGAGCCGTACTCAGCCAGCGCCAGGAAGACCAGTGACTGCACCCAATTGCTTACGCAGGCAGAGCTTTGAACGGCGATACGGCATAACTGAGCTGGAGACCCTCGCAGTGGTCTGGGCAATCTCACACTTTCACCACTATTTATATGGCAACCCTGTGACAGTATTCACTGACCACACTGCCGTAAAGGCTGTACTAGAAACTGCAAATCCGACTGCTAAGCACGCCCGCTGGTGGACCTAAGTTTATGGGAGAGGAGTTAAGATTGTGTACCGTCCTGGCCGAGAAAACTCAAATGCCGACGCTCTCTCCCGCCATCCTCTACTGCCAGCACCAGCTATGTTGAATTGGCTGAAAATGAGGTGCAGGTCTCCAGAGTGTGCGTTTCAGGGAGAGTTGATCAAGCTGACGTTCCACCTCCCCTGGCCCATCAGAAGCAGAGTCTGTCAACCCTACCTGTCATGCAGACTGTCTACCCAACCCTGGACTGAGGAAGGAAACAAGTCTGAAGGAGCTATCTTCCCAGGAATTGGCTACCTCTGTCCTGCCCGAAGAAGGGTTGCCATCAGCCATTGACAACCATGGTCCACCGGCCTCAGTAGCTGTCAGAAACAGCCCTAGCTCTCATACTGCTGGAGAGCAAGACCCGAGCACACATGAGAAACTGCTAGAACCAGTGCCGGATGCCCGATGAGGCGAGGTATCACTGACCTGCGTCTCAGCTACGTCAACACCCACATGCTGGACCGACTGCAGTACCTGGTGACAGCCGAGCCACCGAGTCTGCTGTCGGAGTGGTGCAGAGTGATGACCAACAACTCACAGGTCTTGTTAGTGAACTGATGACAGCAGATGGAAGTGTCGCTGACAGACTCCTTACTGGGTGTAGTGACTGGGGAGTATTGTCACAGAAAGGAACAGCTGGCTTTACTCAATCGTCGTCAGTGACCACCACACTGGAAGAAACTGAGACCAAATATTTGCTGGAGAACACCGAAACAGCAAACGCACTATTACCTGACGAGGAAGGAGATGGCCAGAGCTCCGATGCAGTGGCGGATATTCGTACACTCTTCTGTGGAGACACGAGTGACACCCCGGCAGAGCTAGATGATTTCGCTGTGGAGCAACGCAAAGACCCGGAGATTCTGGAGATCATTGAGTATGCTGAGAATGGAACAGTGCCTGAAGATGTCAGCAGAGCGCGACGACTCGTGTCGGAAGGCTCAGTCTTTGTCATTGTAGATGGAATAGCTTACTACGTTGACCCAAAGCGAGAGAACAGGAGAAGAGCCATTGTGCCTCAGCAACTGCGAAAACAGATATTGGCAAATGCCCACTCAAGCCGCTTTGCCGGCCACTTTTCAGGACGGAGACTCTACGATTCGCTTCTACGGCACTGGTGGTGGAGAGGGATGTTTCAAGATGCCACTGCTTTTGCAAGGTCGTGTCCAGAATGTGCTGTGGCAACTGGATCTGGCAGGAGGATCAAGCCACCCTTACAACCTATACCGGTGTCCCGTCCGTTCCAGATCTTGGGCATTGATATAATGGATCTGCCACTCACTGACCGAGGGAACTCCCATGTGGTGGTAGTGCAGGACCTTTTTACCAAGTGGCCGTTTGCATTTCCGGTTCCTGACCAGAAGACAGAGAGGAGAGGGAGACTGCTTGTAGAAGAGATAATCCCTTGTTTTGGTGTTCCTGAGGCCCTATTGTCTGACAGGGGCACAAACCTGCTGTCTCACCTTATGCTGGACAGGTGCAAGATGTTGGGGATAGATAAAATAAATACCACCGCCTATCACCCCCAATGCGACGGTGCTGTGAAAGATTTAATCAAACGGCTCTCAGAAAGCACGCAGCACGATTCGGTTCCCGGTGGGATCATCTCCTACCTGGAATACTATGGGCTTATCGAAACACACCACACAGTTCGACTGGAGAAAACCCATCTTTCCTCCTCTATGGAGTAGACTGCCGTTCACCCACTGAGGCAGCATACTTGCCAACCTCTGAGATGATACCAGTAGATGTACGTGACTACCGAGAGGAACTGATGATTTCACTCACCTCTGCAAGGGACTTGGCTGCCAAAGCCATCAGGAGGGCCCAAGCTCAGTATAATCATCAGTATGACAAGAACGTGCGACAGAAATATCTGAACAAGGGTGACTGGATCCTGGTCCATTTCCCACAAGACGAGACTGGACGATGGCGTAAACTCTCCAGACCTTGGCATGGTCCCTATCGAATTGTTGAGCTGACTAACACCGGAGTTACGGGTGTGAAAGTCTATTACCCGCAAGAAGGGAAGCTGCATGTCCATCAGTCAAGAGTATGTGTATGCCCGCAGGAGTTTCCAGCTGGATTTTACTGGTACGGAGGGAAGAGAAAAGGCCCTGGACGTCCACCAAAGTGGGTCAATCGCCTACTGCAGTCTGGTTTTGCAGACAACACCCCACCACTCAGCAATAGGGCGCCAGATCAGACCAACGACAGTGAGGACGATCACTTTAGTGCCTCTCACAAGGAGGGCAATTATCAGACATTGCCAAACACTCAAAAAGTCAGACCGGAACAAGAGACGACACCTCGGATGTTCAAGAGACCACAGAGCTGGTGGATAGCAGATCAGAAGAACCGCAGTCTCATGTGAACTCAGAAGACGACATTGGCGCATTTATGTCTCGCGACGACTCAGATGAAGGAGCAGCAGATACTGAGGGAAGTCAGACACCCTGCTCGAGAAGTTCAAGACAGCGACAAGAGGGACTGGGGTGACGGGACGGCCGACTGCGGCAGCGAGTGAAGCCCCCACAACGCCTGTTTTGAAGACCCAAAGTTCGTAGGCGAACTTTACTTCTGGAGGGAGGGGTGATGTGATGACTGCACTCTATGCTACACATTATCATAGTCATAATCATTCTCATGGAACTAGTAGAACTATTGTCAATTCAGTCATGTGCGCCACACATACATACTCTGATACTGAGCATGCGCACTGGGAGTAAGTGTTGGCTCCACGACTGAGAAACGTAGAACGTCTCTATATACATGTGTATCAATGACAGCGTTATGCTGTAAATCTTACAGCCAGCCAGGAAGAGGAGGGAAGTGGGCTCCATGCAGGCACCGGCTGTGGAAGATCTGCTGCAGAGTCTTAGATTCAATACTGGAGAGCACAGCATTGGAGGTCAGAGGTGCAATCAGCGCTACGAGTGGTACCAGACTCCGTCTGAGGTGGTCCTCCACATCATGATACCCAACGTGAAGGAGAATGACATCTTAGTGGAGTTTACTGACAAAAAGGTTATTGTGGGTGCTCACTGCTCACATCGCAATAGTACATCTCCTTGCTAACATTCTACTCCTCATATTATATTAGTACCGTGTTATAAGTAGTACTCCCCCTTCCATTACACACCCCTACAGACTCTCCCTCCACCCCAGTCACGATATCCTGCCAGACAAATGTCTCATGAAATGCCTCAAAACAAAGGTATTAACTTTGAATTGTGGTAATATTGATTGTTCAAACCTTATCAGGTGGAGCTGAGGATGAAAAAAGCAGAAGGACTCCAGTGGACAACACGTGATAAAAGAGGTTGGAGTAATAGCTCAGTTTATTGTAGCCTTTCCTCTATCAGGTGCACCTCCTAAAGTTTATGATTCATATTTTCAAAGATGGGATTCAATATCTGAAGAAGACGAAGAAGAACAGCCAATCTAGTACATAGTTTTGTAAACTGGATATTTGCGCATGCGTATTTTGCAACCAGCGTGCAGACTTTGACCTCAGCATGGTGGAGGAAGGGGAGAGCGAACCGCCAGGGAAACGGCGGAAACTGAAGCTCTCACTGTCCCGATCCAGGCCTATTGCTGCCACAGCTTGTCATGATAGAACACTGCGCGCCGCAGGGCCTCGGCCTCCTGCAGCAACTGAAGACATCGTCTCGGGGACGACGGCGACGGGAAGAGGGGAGGTAGATACGGATAGCACCGACTCGAAGGAGAGGGCGAGATGGGAGAATGGTACCGAGAGAACGGTAGTGAAGGTTTATAGCGACGCAAAAAAGACGACTGGAGGGGAGAGCGACGATGAGGCGTATTTCTCTGCAAACTTCAAGTCCGTATGCTGCAGTGTCCTTTCCGAGGACTGTCCAGAGAGACATGTTTTTACTGAGGACGAGAGATCTACAGTTGAACGCTTTATGAGTCTGTCTGGTAAGTCTAGATTCCATATAGAATACTGTAGATGCATGCAATTGGATGTGTAGTTTGAATGGCTACTAAACTGGTATAACAGGTTGTGAGCAGCAGCTGTACGTGAGACTGTTTCTGAGGAAGCATCAGTGGCTGAGAGTGGAGAAACTCAAGTACGACAGAATATCTGAGGACCTTGGTCCCATCACAGCAGGACTCGTCTCCAAGAACTTCCTCCTACCAGGTCAATCTCAGCTCTTTATTATAGCAAAGTTGTTCTCTGTGGCGGCATTCCCTTATGATGTACACTTCAATCATTAGCCGTAGCTTCATAAATCTTTTACAATGTCTAAACCGGACCGTTTTATTGGTTTTGTCTCTTAAAGGTATATACACCGTCCAACAGTGCATAATAATAATAGCACAGTGAAAATCATAATAATTGGAATAATCTGATTGGCGGTTCCTCTAATATCAAGGGAACATAACGGCTAATGTTACTAAAAATAGAACTAAACACTGAAGCCCATTGCAAAATGAGAAAATATGTTTCCGTAATTTTTCATTCCCTTTAGTCTTACTACGCAGTAACTGCATGGACAGACATCCTTTGCCCCCACGTACAGAGAGTGATCTGAGGGACGAAAGAGAGGCCCTGGGTCTCCTCCAGGTCTCGGAGCTGAAGCAGCTCTGCAGGGACATGAAGATGGCCGGCTCCCTGCAGCGCTGCACCAAGACAGAGATCATCAAGTCCCTGCTCTCCCACAGCCAGCAACACAGACCTCTGTTTGGGGCACCCTCCTTTCTCAATGTCGTCTTCAAGAGGTGAGTAGTATAGAAGTGTGCAAGTGTTAATTGTGATGTGATTTATCTGGAGCTAACAACGGCCCCTCTTATTTTGCCTTTATACCATCCATTTGACAACCCATTGTGGTCTATTATTCCGCTGTAGCACTTCACGTTTCATTGCGTTCTCCGTGTTACGCAATCCTGTTGATCTAGACCTTCACTTTATATCTGTACACCTAACCTTGCTACATGTATCTAGGGACATTGATTCACCATAATTATAGAGAGCTCCTGTCTGGAAATGGCACTGTTATGCACATGCACTGACCAAATTGGTGGAGTAAGATTCCGCATTCACGGATTGCTTGCAGAGGGTGCTGGTTGGGGCCTAGAAATTAGATGCTAGAATAGAAACCCTGTGTGTTTTGGAGGAAGGTTTTAGATGTGTATACATACCTGGTTGTTTTCTTCACCAGGGTACCCCTTTCTCCCAAACTTCAACTTCCTGGATAGCTAACTAAGGTTCGACTGTATTGTTATTGTGGAGTATAGCTTGGGGTATTATGTTCTCCCCAGAGTGAAGGCTCTACTGGGGAGGTGTGTCTGTGTGGCTCCTCAGGCAGTGGAGGTGTTCTCCAAATGCCTTCTCCTCCATTCTCTCACCACCTCACTCTCCTCCTCTTCTTATTCATCCTCATCCTGGACTGAGGAGGGCGAATCTGCTGCCTTCTCTGACACTGTGTAAGTATTATTATGTGTGAGGTGCATAGGGATGGTGTGTGTGTGTGTTAATTTGCTTTGGAGAGGATTGATTCTTGGTTACCAGGCAGGTATATACATGCTTTACAAAGGTTAACAGTACACTTCACTGTACATGGCAGACAGCTCATCTGCCTCTTTGCAATGGAATCAATGATGCATGTTTGTCAATGTTTCGCTCGCTTGGATTATCATCTCCGTGTTCCCATTTCCGATCATCCATATACCTTTTTTCCAGTATGTAAGTCACACCTGTGTACTTTAGGCCTGTCCACGGATTTGTATGGTAACTCTATTTAACGCGCACATCCACCACACTGCGGTCTTGGGGGATCGCGCACGATTACACAGTAGAAAGAGAAATACGATGGCATCATTCTGTCTTACAGCGTATAAGCAGCCGTGTAGCTGGATTGCCTCGTCGCCATAGAGCCACCTGTTGCTCCTAGACTGCCGGACGCGCTACCCGTGGGTACACAGCAAGCGTGAAATCGACGGTAACGCTCGCATCCCCTTTTGACGCTAATTTCAGTGCAACTTATACTCTGGAAAATACGGTTGGTCCGGACTTCAAAAGTGTTAGTTAGAAAAGCAGCTCCTGCCCGCCAAAAAAACCTACAATGTAACCATGTACTCCCAACATTTTCCAAATTGTGACTCATGCATCTGTCTCTTTGCTCTAGTTACAAGATGCTCCAGGTGAAGATCGGGCAGGTGGTGTTCAGTGACTATGACGTGTATGTGACGGAGCCTCTCTTCTCATCGCCCGAGCAGTTTTCAAGGTGTTTGATGATATAATGACTTTCCCGTACGGAGGTGGTGAGCCAGATTGTGTAATTTTAGATTTTATGCAGCAAGTAAGGATCTGCGTGCACTAGTGGCAGCAGTAGAGGCCAGAGAAGGCGGAGATGAGATACTGGCTTTGGTCAGGAGAACTAGAGACGCCTTTCAACACGAAATAGCCGGTATGTGAAACAGATTTAACATGGATCTTCTGCATGTATGTATGAAATTATAGTTCATAACATACCAGCCATAGGTATGTATGTATAGTGCGGTATGAGATCGAGTCTTACACATTTTACACCATGTCTAAGCTGGCTAAGCAGAGATTATCGATATGATTTCATGTATTCAGGAGGTTGTTCGGCTCGAGGGTTTATGGAGAAGATGACGACTGGATGGGTCCTTGCCAAGTCAGTAAACCATACTACAAGTACATGGATTCACATTCACTCTACCACCACTGTATGACCTTATCTATTTTATGGAACACCAAAGCCCTATAATACCAATGTATATACTATAGGCATTTTCTAAGACTAAAGCCCTGCCAAACTGATGTAGCATTCTCCACTGCACAATGTATGTGTTTATAAAAGGCCAAAGCCCTACAAAACTGTGATGTAGCATTCTCCACTGTACATACTGTATTGTTAGTGGAGGAAAAAGCATTAACAAACGCATTCTCCACTGTATGTACTGTATTGTTAGTGGAGGAAAAAGCATTAACAAACTCTTATGTAGCATTCTCCACTGTATTTTGTATCAAAAACCTCCCAGGACAGTGACTGGTGGTGTTGAGTATCTGGAGAAGAGAGGAGACTATGGAGGAGCGGTGGAGCTACTGGAGCTGCTGCTGAGTCAGAGTCAGTTTGGTCGCTCTCTCAGGGGCCACTGGCTGGAGAGACTGAGTCTTAACCTTGACTTCCACCTGGGAGAGAAACAGAAGGTTTGTCTTAACAAACCTAACTCACTTAAGGGTTCTATATAATGCCCACCGTGTCTTTTCTCTGCACAACCCGTAGTGCGATTTGCCTTAGGCAGCTTGTCTGTCAAATTACCAAGTCACAATCATTGGACAGCATCACAGCAGATAAACCTGTGTGTTCTCCAGTGTCTGGAGGTGATAAAGAGGGCACTGGTAGAGGAGACTGACCTCCATCCAGCCAGGAGACTGTCCCTGACCCAGAGAGCTCTCAAGATACTCCAGACAAACTCCAGACACAAGGCATGTCATTATCTTCTTTGGCTCAGGATATTTTCGCACATGACTTACGTACAAGTACAACTTGGATGTCACCAGGGGCATTAGCATCAAATTCAAGTATAGTAATGTGCGAAATTCCCAGGCTCTCCCTCCTAAGGGGTTGAGATCACTGCGAATATCTATCTATGTATGATGAGCTACAAGTATGACAGATCTTCTGTTACTGTCTCTCAGAGCAGGAAAGTGGGGAAACACAGATCACCGATTTTGTGGTGCCATTTTTCTCCGTTCGACTTCCCCCAGCCGGAAATAATACCAGCTAAAGAGGTAAGCTGGTTCCAAATTTCAGCAATTGAGAGCTGTAGTCCACACGTACTTATCAGTATCAAAAAACCTTTTTCTACCAATTTAGACATGAATAAGCAAGCTATTCATGCAAGCTTTTATAGACGTACAGAATAAGTCACAAGAGAATGTCGCCACTGCCGTACTACAGGTTGTGGTTGAAGCCCAACGATACAACATAGACAGCAGACCACTCTACGCCGTTTCCAAGCCACGATAACCCTGACACCTTCAACTTTGTGAGCGTGGAGGGGCTGGCCATGCACCACTACAGCGCTGCCGAGTCCTGGCCCTGTGCCGTCCACGCCGAGAAGTCCACCTTCTCCCTCCTGTTCTGTCTCCTCATGTGGGACACCATCTTCTGTCCTGGTGTACCCAATGTCTTCAGAACTAAACTACAGGTGAGGTTTTTATGTCAAATTTTACTGTTGCATAACGCTTCGTATGATTTTTTTGTCCTCACGGTTTTTTGGTTATTATCGATTCATATTCACCCATAGGAGCTGGCATTCATGAAGCACTAGTGCAAGTTGTGAGTTTGTGTTATAATTTTACAGGCTGGGCCACTGGATCTGTTGACTGGTGAGTTCTACACCAACAGACAGGAGCTGATAGACTCTCGTCTCAAATGGATACAACTCTCCAAGAGCGAGGTACACCATGCACTCCAATTGAACTCAATACTCTTCATGACTCTAGTGTAGACTTATTGTGACTTGTGTGGGCAGATCAAAGGAGCAGCACGTATTGTAGTACGCGTTCAATGTGACCAATGTTGAACGTTCAATTGAACTAGCATCAGCACCGTACACATGTATAGTGTAGACAAAAACTGTGTGTATAGGTGAGGGATTGCTGAGGCGACCACACCCCTTCATTCAGCTATCTTCTTGCGCCCTGTGGGAAGCGAGACTGCAGCCGCGGCACACCGACCGGTCAAACGGCCCAGCTGAAACGAGTTTCTCTGAGGGAGAAAGATCACCATCAGACCTTGTTCGATTATGGTAGCCTCAAGAACAGAAAACTCGCTCGAGAAGCTAACGAGTGCGCACGTGTGCATGGGAAGTACTGTATGCTAAATCGTCACATTTCTCTCGCTGGAGGTCGACGACTGCTACAAAGTCACAATATAAACACATAATGTGCGTCCTATCGTTCTATACACGACTTATGGGAACTCGGGTTGTGGTCTCCTTCCCATAAATCACGTATAGAACTCTAAACGCACATTTATCTATTACGTATAGTTTTGCCTGTCTTGTGTTGTATTATGTTGTACCCTACTTCCTTAGTTGCCTGGTAGCACAGCCTGTAGAGCACTCTCTAGACTGCAGATTCAGTGTTATGAGTGAGCCACCCAAGGCAGCTGAGTGTTGGCGTTCTTTTTTCCTTTGCTTTGACCTCATTGTTGCATAAGTGGATGTGAAGTTATTGTCCTGAGGCCTATTACACTGTGTTTATGTGCAGGAGTTGTCGGGAGCAGTAGAGGAGTGTTGGGAGAGGAACCACGGTCGACTCTGTCACGGAGCTGACTGGGACGTCCTGCCAACCATCCAGGATGCAAAGGTGGGAATTCCCTCCCTTGCTCTGTGACTGAGAACGTGAAAAAAAGTATCAGCGGTGAAGTTCGTAGTGTATTTGGTGCCGATGAACAATCCGATATGAACATGTTGTTCATACACAGGTTAAATACCCACGGTATGTGCATGCTAGCCATCAGGTGGGATGACATGGCAGGTGGGTAGGCAGTGGTACAACATCAGTATACACACTAGCCATATGTTTTTGAATGCTAAAGTGTAAAGCATTTTCGGAGCGGCCCAACTGCAGGTACAGTAAAACCTCAGAAAGCAGACCCTCCCCAGAACTGACACCACACCTAGAGCAAACTGTTACACCCCAATTTCACAGAGCAAATAGTTACACTGCCCCCTGATTGAACTTCCCATTATGGTTCCGCCCATTGCTCTGGGTGCGTGGTCGATGGCCCTAGTGCTATGGCTTCCATGTGGGTATTTTTTATAGTACATTTTGAATCCCTGAGGAGGAGGCAATGCATCCAACCTCGGTAGAGCAGGCACCTCCACAGTCCCCAACCCCGCCCATACATATTTCCCTCTTATGGCGTACAGCTTGCCGCAGCCCCATGACCACACCTACTCCGTGCTGTGCTTGAGCTCTACTCTGGCCTTTTACAATGAAGCGTGTTGATCACACTACGCATCCAGCTGAACATCATTTTTCCAAATAGTCACATTCTATCTATGTACATAGAGACAGGTATGTAAGTGCACGGGGATCTCTAGGCCGTATTCTGCACCGCTGTTGACCTTACGTATCTTGTCTGCAACGCCTTTGTCAACATCTCTCCCCAGAACGGCAGACACTGTTGGGATAGCGCAAGCAGCGCAGTATATAAGCATGCAAATACACCATCAGCATAGATAATAAAGCTGAGGAACTTCCTTCTCCTGGGTGTCTATTTGAGTTACGCACTCTTCCTCCTCCACCGCATTATTGATCATGTGCTCTTGAACGAGGCCATATTGAAGTGGTCTGTAACAGCAAATGGCAAGTTATGCTCTGCCACACAAGTCTTGCAAGACAAAGTTCAGCATAATGTAGCGACCCAGAAATTGTGATCTCTCTGGCTTACAGTACAGCAGAGTTATATTATAGGTGACATAGTTGTAGTTGTGGTGTAGTGGTGGTGTATATTATAGTGGTGGTTACACACATAACCAGTAACATGAGTGGGTGCTGTGGTAGATATTAGTTCCCTTACAATAGTCTAGCATCAGACTGATTCCCAACTACTTCCATGATTGTTGGCTGGAGCATGCCTCTTGATCTGATGTAGCTACACCTCCTCCAGCTACAAGGATATCACTACACAATTCACAGAAAACATATTTAGAACCTTTGTTTCTTCCTTTGATACTACCGTAGTACTTGATGGACCATTCGGGTTGGTACTAACCGGCGTGGTCTCTTATTCTTGTTTGAAAAAGGGCTTCCAGGTGAGGTATCAGAGTACCCGAGTTACTTTGTCGACTTGTGCTACTTTTGACCTAGATAGATGACTGCTACCAGCACACGTTTGCCATTGCCAATAGGCAAATAGTCACTTGTTTACCCGACCACATTCCGCCTCCTGTGTGTACCATGGAGGCATCAGAAGTTACAGGGCGAATGTCGAGTCCCACAATGCTACTAGTCTAGCTAGCCCGTGTCAGACACAGAAAGCTAGCGAGTGACCACGATAGTTTGTAGCCTAGTACAGTTTCTGACATATTGCTTATAACACATACATGCGTTTTAGTGCGCCGTTAGTGCTTTTCATTATAGTCATGTGCTCCCCAATTTCCCGTCCCACAGTCTCTGGCAGTGTGTATGGGAGGGGAGCTGCTGAGTAAGGTCTCCAGGCAGTTTGCCATGTTCTACGGTCAGTCATGCGGGGGACTACCTGACCTCACTCTGTGGAACCCCTCTACCAACACATGCAAGGTTAGACCTGCAACTTAATCCTTTACTGCTACACTGGGTTTACAAAACACAAAGTACATTTTTCTTCTAGGACCGAGCCTTAATTTTCTTTATGTCAACACAGCTGGTAGGTTCTTTATATGACCGACCCTTAATTTCCGTTGTGACACGATGCCAGATATACTTTAAGTTATGCTACAATTATAAAATAATTAACGTGCCACGGAGGGCCAAACGCAATGTCATTTGCATCGTAGTTTGTTTACGAAATTCCTGTGACTGTGTCACATCGTGGGGGCCTGCGATATGTGTACTATGAACCAGGCTTAATGTTTGGTAAATGTGATTCAGAGAACACACAATACTGTCTGTACTGTAGCACAGTGGTTTAAGGTTTGCCTTTGTCTTCTTTAGTATTGTGTTGTGTTGTAGATTCAACCCCTACCAGCTGTGTTGCCCTGTAGTAGCTCAGTTGGCAGAGCACCTGCCTAGACTGCGGAGTGTCGTGGGTTCTGATCCCACCTAGGGCTGCGGTATGAGTTGTCCTGGGTTTAGTTGATTTGTTTGCCTTTTGACCTCATTTTTGACATGCTGATAACTGTGCACGCACACACACAGTTTGTGGAGGTGAAGGGACCTGGAGATAGACTCTCCAACAAGCAGATAGTCTGGCTCTCCAGGCTGGCCTCCTGGGGTTGTCAGGTGGAGGTATGCAGGGTCAAAGGTGAGTTGGACTGTTACACATACCTAAGAAGCATGCAGCCATAGCAAAGTAGTGACTGAACATGTATATACTATAAAGCATTGGAAATTAGTGTAGTAGAGGACAGGCTTTTGCAGATTTTGAGAAAGAGAACGTTTTCTAGAGCTGGTGGTCTTACCACAAGTTTAGTTTTTCCCAAGCCGTGGCTTACCAACCAGACTGAATGCTAGTGCACTCTAGTCTGAGGCCAACCACCACCCTCAATGTTGTTTTCTTTCTGTTCTGTATGTTGCACAGCTCAGACAAGATGACCAACTGCATCCACAGTGTACTTTTTACTGAGACTTTGACTATTCACTTCTTTTAGTTAAAGACAGATAATCCAATTGCCACTCTTAACTTTAGTGTATGTTTAGTATTCAAATCTCAAGAGGGAGGAATTAGTGGTCTCTTTCCAGTCACCAGCTCACATTTCATTGTTGCCTCTATATACACCACGTACTGACATTATAAGTTGGAGGTATAAGATCCTTGGTTCGTGTAGCATTCAGCAAGAGGGTTTTCATTGCAGCGGTTCTATAGACACACAGCAACGTAGCTATCCGACTAAGTCCCGCAAGGAGACAGTCGTAGAAGCAAGCAACTTTAACTATTCTAGTAGACACAGCTACTTCCCACTTGTTAGTTAGTTCACCACTCCACGATTTTGAAAGAGATAGATTTAATACTGTTTGCCACACTAAGTCAGCATGAAGCCCCCAAACCCCAATAAGAGTAGGCAGCCAATGTTGGCGCTACTGGCAGGGGGTTCAGGGTGCATGGAGACTGAGGAAGATAAGATAAGTATCCCTATTGTATTGGAGGGTGGTCCTGAACTAAGCGGTTGCTATACGAACCACAAACTCAAGAGTAGCCACAAACTTCTCATTAACACATGGTCGCATGCGCAGCGAGGGTTACACTAGTTGACATGGATTTCGAATCCCACTCTATTACAGAAGCTGGAGTCTTTCCAAGCTGAGCTCGCCAAGCGCATCCTTCGGCTACCAACTTTCCCCCCTAACAGCAGCACTGCCCTCATGGCTCTGCAGTGGCCGTCTATGAGAGCCAGAATACTTATCATCAAGCTCTGCTTTCTACTCAAAGTAGTTAATTCTGATCTCTCTCTCAGTGCTCGTGTTGTTCGCTCCCTCGCCGCCTCTGATGTTGAGCCAGTGGTTATCACTCGTCAATGTCGTCTCCTCGAGTCCATCTACAAGTCTAACTACACGACCTTTGTACTAATAGCTTCTGACGAAATCTCATAATTATGAAGAAAGAAGTTCTCCAACTTGACCTCTCTTTACGACTTCCGGATGCCTCTACACATCCCTCTCAGCAGTATATATGTGTCCAAGCTGTTGCTTCCAGCAATGATGGGAGCTGGCTGAAGCTATGGGATATGGCTCTGGAGAGGGGTGTCTTCGGCACAACCTGCATTCAAGCTATACTAAGGTTTCCCTCCCTCCACGCCCACTCAGGCAGTATATACATGTCCTGCTCCTATAGCTGTTCTTTTCTTACATTGGTTCCGAGTCTCCCTGCGGACACTGGATTATCCCGGACACTTTCTGTCGCCCACACTAATCGTAGAATGGGAGGAGATGAAGTGGTTGAAGTAAGGTTCATGAAGATGATCAATGTCACAGCGATGGCAAGATTTGGAACCAAAAGCTGGCCTTGTTAGTTCCCGGAACAGTGCTTGCAGTATCGCGCATGCGCAGTTCGCCGAGGGTTTGCACTTTAGTGCTTTTCATTAGTTTTGAGGTGGGAAGCGAACCTCACTTTCCTGCCACAGGCCAAGATGGATAATACCCAATAATTTTTGTGGTAACATGCTAATGTGTGTGCTTTTTAGCCAGGCCACTGACTAATTAACCCTCGGCCCACATGTGCAGTGAGGGTTATGGTACTTGTTTGGTACTTACAACCCTAAGAGCAATGTAGCTTATCAGGGGTGTATTTCATGGATGACCATAGTACTCATTCTCACGAAAAGGCTCAACTACACTTTGCTATCTCCTGTATTGTAATGTATGGGAGGGAAGCTACTGAGTAAGTTTTTGCCATTATGTATAGTCTGTCAGGTGGTGGAATACCTGACCACACTTCTGAATACAGCGTATATTCCTAGCACCGGGTTGTTTGAAGTTGGACTACAAATTTAATATTAATGGCGATGAATCATTGGGGTTTGAAGGGTAGTTTCCTCATAGTAGTAACCTGTGTGTATATACTGGTGTCTGTAAAATGCCAGCGTAGGATTTTGTCATGTTTTAACACTCTGGTGTGTGTGTGTGTGTGAAAACGCACGCCATAAAACAATACAGTAGAGTGTATTAGCATGGGGATGAAACATGTGTCCTTTTTAGAGATGTCGTCCCTATCTCGGAGGGTCCCTTATCGGAGGTTCCACTGTACGTATACTAATTTACTGTTTTATATTATAATCTGGTCGCGCCTCCAAAATGCAGGTTTTACGTGAGGTCAAAGTCGCAATCCTGGAAAGCGCCCCGCTTTTTGAGGATCATTACCAATGTCGCGTAAAACCGTGCCACTGTAAGAGCATGCCCTTTCTACTAGACGGGGTTTTACGTCGGGTTGCAATCCTGCGTAAATACGCCCCATGTGAGTGATCACTGCAGTGGGTCGCGTAAGTCAGTCGTTGGGGTAAAAGTCGCATCCCCTTTTACTGCGAAGTTCTGTACTGACCCGATTTAGCTAAACACTGCGAAAGGGGTAGTCGGGTGAACGCACAAATGGCGCCCCATACTCGCGTGTCTCTGCCGTGACATTGTCCTGAAGGCACCGCCAGCAGACCTTGACCTGACTCGGCACTGTCCTTTTTTTCTTTTCTTCAAACAGCTTTTCTCAAAGCTACCACAAACGCACCATCTGGAGTCTAGTCACCCTGGTCGCGTGTCACGGACTAGAGTGCACTTGAATGAGTGTGCGTGGCCTTAATTTTGCGCACGGCATATTTGCACGCGGCCGCGCCAATGCCCGACAGCCACCTGCCCCTTTCCTAGACGGTGTGGTCTGAATCGCTTCGCGGGTGTTTCGTGTGTGTTATCTTTGTGGTTTTTTGGTTTTTTGGGATCCTTTTTTGTTTTGTTTTTTGTTTTTTTGTTGTCCTTCTGTTCACTATCATTGTGAATTTGCTTCCACTCATATGACTGCCCGACTGAGCCGCTCGTGCGGGCGCTCTACTGACTGCGCGCGCGAAGGCAGACTTCCTACGATGACGGAAGTTACACTTCCTTTTGGTGACTAATTGACATTCCTAAGCGTGGCTAATTGACGACGTACGTATAAGTTATGCGAGAATACAACGCCCGAGTATTTCTATAAATTTATCAACGCTCAGCTTGCGCTCGGCGCATCGGAGTGGAGTTATTTTGGCGTGGCCGAAGTCGCTACGCGTCGGAACTCCAGTTGATCCCTCGCCCTCGAGAAGGCTCGATCGGTCGACGCCCCCCTAGCGAAGGCGCTCAGACGCTTGAGTACTTGAGAGAGATGGACGAGTTCTAATGAGAACACTGCAGAGTCGTTTCATCTCACTATCTCCAACTTTTGTTTCATTCCCTCGATTTCCTCGATTCTGCACTAAAGAAAATGAAGGTGCAAAT